TCCCCAGCCAGCATGGCTGGCTGGGGAATTCTGGGAGTTGAAGTCCACCCATCTTAAAGTTACCAAGGTGGAAAAAATTGCTTATGGGATATGCTCAGCAACTTTAAACCCCTGGGTTTACAAGACTGCCTAAAAAGCCACCCATATAGCTGCAATTAAATGAACAGTTGAATGTGGCTTAATAACTGCTGTGTTCCTCCACCCGCAAAGATACGCCAGGTTCGTTCTGCAGAAAGACTTCACCCACCCATACGGGTGCTTGGCGGCTTTCTCGCCTCGTGCCTCTTTGCCCCGAGTCCCTGGGCACTCCTCTGACTCGCAACCTGTGCAACTCCCCAGAGGTGACTCTGGTGCGACATCTACAAAGGGGTTTCCAGAGGGATCTGCAGAGGGAGGTCAAAAAAGTCAAAATGGTGGCCACAGCCATGCAATCCAAACTCTGCCTTTTTTACATGTGGGGCTTCAGCTGGAACAAAAGAACCAGGGCTTCTCTGTGGCCGTGGAGAGAGAGCACTGATAAGGCCCGAGGGTTACCAATGGAGCTAAGATGTCATTCTTGACACATGGGACACTAAGCATGCAGTCTAGGCCTCTGATGCAAAAAAATTATCTTCAGGGCTGATGCTCCGGGAAACCAAAATGTACGACCCCCTGAGCTTGGGCAGAACTTATTTCCTTCCACCAAGCAAGCGTATGTAGTCACTGCACATCCAGAAATGTTGTCTCTTGTCACCTCTTAGTGAAGCGTGCAGTGTTATGTTTCCCCTAACACGGTTTTCTCATCACAATACCAACAGAGGAGCAAAAGGGGAGGTTATTTCTGCAATCTGAGACTTGGATTAAAAAGAGGACTGGAAGACCCTAGTCATAAATAAGCTGATACAGGAATTCCTCCACAGCACACATACCCCCACTTTAAAAAGGGATACAGACCGTGATGCAGGTCCATTACAGGAAGTCCTCGGGTTACGACGGTAATTGGGACCGGAATGTCCATCGCTAAGCGATGCAATCATAAAGGGCAATGTCACATGACTGCATCGCTTAGCGATGGCAATCCTGCTTAGTGATGGGAATCCTGGCACTCCCTGTTGCCATCGTTAAGCGAGGATCATGGGTTGTTAAGCAAGGACTTCCTTGCAACTTCCTGCCGGCTTCCCCATTGACTTTGCTTGTGTGATGAGGCCAGGGGTGGCTGCTGCCAGGTGCACGAGGGTGTGCAAGGGTGCATGGGTAGCCATCAGGGTGCAGCGCAACTGCAGCAGGGCCAGGGTGGCTGCTGCCAGGTGGGGGGGTGCGCAGGTGGCTGCTGCTGCAGGCAGAGGCGCCATAGCCAGGCTTCTTGATGGAAAAAGCTACTGGAATGCGACTTACCCAAGTGACTTGCAACCTCCCGTTGGCTTCCCCACTGACTTTGCTTGTGGAAAGCTGGCAGGAAAGGTCACAAATGGCGATCACATGACCGTGGGATGCTGCAACCGTCATAAGTGCGAGCCAGTTGCCAAGCACCCAGATTGCAATCACATGACCGTGGGGGTGCTGGGACAGCTGAAACTTCAAGGACCGGTCATAAGTACCACTTGTTCAGCACCGTTGTAACTTCGAACAGTCACTGAATGAGTGGTCATTAACTGAGGACTACCTGTATTTCAGACTATGGTCTCAATGGATCTTCTCTTCAGATCCTACCTGGGTATTAATTTAGGGACTGCAAAATAGGGGTAGCCCAGCTCTTCCTGCTCAATGGTTCCTTGATCGTGGTCCTAAAGTTCTGCAAGAACATCAGCTACGTATAGATGGGTGGGTGGGTGGTGGTAACAATGGATTCTTAGCACAAGAGATTTTGTTTTTTAAGCTTTGGGAAAATTGGGGCAAAGAAGAAGGAGCTAATGAATATATCCCTTTTCACCCAAGTGGAAGGAACCACAGTTTGGGGAAAGAATGTGTCCTTGGCTTGCAGGAAGCCTTGAGTTCAATCTTCAGCATTTCCAGGTTCAGCAGGGAAAGACCTCTTTTTCAGCCTGAATGTCCCTGAAGAACATCCTATGGAGCAGCATTTTCCAGCCTTGGGAACTTTAAGATTGTGGACATCAACTTCCCATGCTGGCTGGGGAAATCTGAGAGTTGAAGTCCACAATCTTAAAGTTGCCAAGTTTGAAAAACACTGCTGTAGAGGCTAACACTGATTCGTGCCACCTCTTGTTTGGGTGGAAGGTGGGATGTCCTAATAAGGACCCTCTGTTTTCCTAAGGAGGACATCACTGTTCAGTGGAAGATGAGCTTTATCTTCAGATGGGTTTGAACCATGTCAACTTCAGGTTAAAAGATCTCAGCTTTTAAGGCTGGGAAAGATCTGAGCCTGTGAAGACTCAGAAAAAGCAGAACAGTGCAGGATAAGGCAATTCCGTGAGTATCTCCCAACCCACTTTTTAAATTATTATGATTTATTATTATTGAGGATTGTCTCTCAGGCCAGGATATCAAAATATTAAAAATAACCATGGCCCCTCAATATTGCAGTGCACATTATCTCTTTTCCTCTTTCTCTTTCTATCTCTCTGCACGTCTTCCTTCATGGGATCTACTGTCCAGACAGTGCAACTTCTGTAGGTCCATTTTTCCCCCGGCTTGAAGGTTTGTATTGGGCATCACTTTGATTTCTGCAATTTCCCCTAAAGACAAGCAAAGCAGAGAGGCAGGATCCCTGTCCAATCCTCCAAATCCTGCAGAACAGCCTCTTTGGGACAATTGCTGGATCAGCCGGGCTTCAGAAGTTCTTCTGTGTCCAACTCATTCTCTTGCCCAGGGCTTGTACCACTTCCTTCGGAAAGCACACGCCAATACTAGCTCCCAAATTGAAAACTGGAATTTGCCCCAATTGGGGCATGAAGAACATTCCTGGCTGGGTGAAGCAGGTGATCCCGTCCTTTCTTCCCTTTTGCAGAAGCCAAGTGGGCTGTTTACACCATCTTCCAGTGGATGGCTCTTGCTCAATGACACGACATACTCAAATGCAACCAGCATGCACCTTAAAGGGATAGATTATCTGATTCTTGGCATGCATTTTGTGAGGAAGAGGCTCAAAAACAGGGTGGAAACCTGATTTATTCATGCAACTACCTCCTACTCCAAGGAAAACCTATTGGAAGGAACCTTCTTGGTTCCCTTCAAATTCCCAGGTCACCTTCCACTGTTCCTCCAACACGGTAACAGTGAAAGAAGACTGGCTCGCAGTGACCAGGCGACATATCTTGACTGACCCAAGAGACAAACACCATCCCAACCTTCCAAGAAAATAGGATCAGGCTGCTAGCTACTGAGGTTTCATGCTAGAATGCTGGGACGCCCAACCCTTGGACCTCAAACATGCAACACCCATTTTAGGGAAACACCGATTGACTTGGAGGAATCTGCTTCAGCAGACCTCCGACCCCTCCCCGTTTGCAGAGCAGGAAAAGAAGCCAACTGGGGGAAGCGGCAGGCACAGATATAGGAGGTGGGAAGCTGGTTTATGAAAAGGGGAGCAAGGAAGCGAGGGGAAGTTCCTTTTCGCCCATCAGAGTGTCCCGTTTGAGACTGCTGCCTTTGTTCACCACTTTGACTTTGAGCGACATTTTCTTCATGTTGCTAATGCCCAACCCGTCAAAGAAGAAATCTTCGTTAAAGATGGGGTTGCGGCTATTCTTGATGATGGTGCTCCGTTGTTTTTGCAGCTTGCCAGGGTTTAAATAGAGAGCCACGCAACAGTTGATGCTCCTGACATCACAGTGCTTGTCGTAGAGATCTTCCGCGGCCACGATGCGCACCCGCAGCCGGGCATTGGAAGGGTTGTACTGGGCCACCAGGCGGATGCTGCCTCCTTTGCTAAAACTGAACACGTGTTCCTTGTGAAATCGGTCTTGGGAGTCCACAGGGCCGAGGGGCTGTTGCTGCGCTCCGCCGGTGGCCCCCCCAGCTGGGGGGGTTGCACAGCGCATGCGACGCTGCGAGCTGGGACTGGTGTCCGCCGAACTATCGTCAGTGGACAGGGAACTGTTGCGAGCCACGGAGTGTTTCAGTTTGATGACCTTGGATTGGCTCTCCTGGCTGAAGATCTTGAGAAGGGACACTGACCTTGACAGCAACGGGGAACCAAAAGGAGAAGACTCCGCTGAGGAACAGGTGTCACTCTCCCCACCGCTGAAGTAGCGGTAGGGGTTCATGAGCGACATGCTGATGTCTGAGGGGTTGAGGTGGGTGCTCTCTCCATTCGTCTTGCTCCCTCCGGAGGTGGACTTCCGTGGAGAACTGGGCGAGGAGGACTGGGACGGGCACAGGCTGGTGTGCTCGCTATGAAAGAGAGACTCCTTACGGCGCGTATGGGGGCTTTCCATCAATGTCGCAAAGCCGTACGAGGTCTGGGCTTTGGGCACGTACGGCAGCGACATGGCCGTCTGCGACTGCGGGTCCGCATTGGTGCTGAAGTCCTCTTCGGACATCCATTCATCCGCACTCTCGATCTGGATGATGTGCCGGCTGGCGGCCTTCAGAAGGTTCTTGCTCTCAGAGACCGCCTTCACGGGCAAACGGGGGCTGCGCTGGGCTTTGCGGGCAGACAAATTCTGCTCAGAGGCGGAAGTGCCCAGGTTGGGCTTGGCGTTCCCTTCCACTCCCTCTGCCTCAGGAGGCACCGCGGGGAGTTTGGGAGGGATAAAAAAATCTGGAATCTTATCAGGCGTCAGGACGTTGCTGTACAACGGACCTTTGGACTGCTTATCTCCAGCCTCGGTGCCCCGAGAGCTGCCGTTCTCCACCGAGCCCCGGATCTTCTCTAGAAGCCACATTCTCAGTCCTTTTCTTCTACAGGTTTAGGAGGGGATGGACAACTCCAAAGGCCTGGAAGATAAAAGAAAAAATAATATTCAAGAGACGATGTGTGAGTTTTCTATTCCTCCCATTGATTGTACAGAATGCCCTCTTAATTTGCAAATTAACTACAGCACAGCAGAGAAACCATCTCTCTCTTTTTTCACGACAGATTCAATTGGATGAAAGAGCATTTGTTTTTGAAGTTTCTTTCAAAGGGAAAGAGGAAAATCTCAGGGGTGGACGATAGTTTTCTGAAACTTATTTCTCGATGCCATTGCCAAGACCTGTATGTTCTGTTTCTCAGAATAGCATCACCTCTCTTGCAGCCTGCAACCTCCCAGATTTCCCATATTCCCATTCAGTGCCCATGGAAAACATGGTGATAGAACTCTTCCCCGTGGATTGTTCTGCACAGCACTCCTAAGGGAGAGTCGTTCCTTGGGAAAACTTCCGAAGAATGAGTGCCGCCCAACTGTTTTGCCCACAAACTTGGTGGAGAATTCCAAAAAGCTCTAAAATTAAACCTCTCCTCCTTTAACCACCCAGGAGCCTCTACCTGTGCATGAAGTAAGCCTCAAAAAAATTACATAACAGGGTATCCGATTCTAAGCAACAAACACAGCCAAGCTGGCATGCAAATTCAAGCACGCATTACAACTGGAGAAAAACCCAGAAGCAGAAGTTCAAAAACAGCAGGACTCTGGACAGGTCCACACATAACACAGGGGCACAAAACAGAGGAAATTCAGATGTTGCTTCAGCAATGCTTGGAAGTAAACGGAGGATTTCCTTGGCTGGGTTCACCCAACACACTTAACCAGGTCAGGGACAACCACAGGGACTGTGTTTGCCCAACATAGCCAACTTGGTTAGGGCTGAACTTATATTCTTTTAGAGTGTCTTGATATCTTTGGCAAACCCAGTTGGATTAGTTCATGGTTCAGGGTGTTATGCCAACCCACAAAATGGATTAATTCAGTAACCACCTTAAGATTTGATGGATTATGCACCATCAAGTTGTTTTTGCAACCATAGACACAGATTTTCTCCTGGAGGATCCATCCCCAACCTGGTCCTTCAGGTCTTCCAACGGGCACCCATTGCTACTATAACTGTAATGGGCCATGGGAATGACCTCAGCAGACAGGAGGAAGAGCTGCAGATGAGGCAATGGTCTGATAAATGAAATCTGAGTCCAAAGGAAGGGTGGGGGTGGAGAAAGTGTCTCAGAAGGGACCCTCCCTAGTTTTCAGGAGAGTAAAAATAGGGGCGGGGAGAGGTACTTTCAGATTTGCAAGATTCTGTTACCGTAACCTTACAATAAAGATAGAGCTAGTACTTCTGGTTGTGCTTCTTGTCTGGACTACCTCGAAGGGCTGACAGTAGCTGAGTCCATTCATCTTGCTGCCGGTTGTCCTCTTCTCTTTCCTTCTATCTTTCCCAGCATTAGAGCCTTCCCCAGAGAGAAATCATGTCTTCCCATAATGTGTCCAAAGTAGGATAATTTGAGCCTGGTTGTTTGTGACTCTAGTAAGTACTCTGGGTTGATTTGTTCAATGATCCATCAGTTTGTTTTCTTGGCTGTCCACGGGATTCTCAGGAGTCTTCTCCAACACTAAGTTCAAAAGTGTCAATACTCTTCCTATCTGGCTTCCATAAAAATGCAGCCCATAGCTTAGGGCAGAGTCAAGATGGAGAGCTTTGCCCCTGCTAGAAAACATTTACAGTGCTTCAAGGGACTTTGTATAATGGGTAAATGTTGTTTCTAAGGGTATTTGCTGAACTGCAGCTGGCTGACCCCCAACATTTCCAAGTGGAGAAATTCTGGGACCGTAGCATTGGATTGAGGAACGCCATCTGCAAGGGCTTAGGAGGAAAGTGGGATTCTTCGGAATCTCTCCCTGATTTTAATTCTTTATTCCCAAGGCCAGGGAGATCACAACCTCATGGGGATCACAAGCAGAAGCGCATGGGAAGCGATACAGAAGGAACCTAGCCCTGTGTGAATAGAATGGACTCTAACCGGGCAAGAATTTGGAATCCGGGGCGGGGGGGAGATCTTGCCCTACACCAAGGGCATCTGCAGGGAGGGGTCAAAAAGTCAAGGTGTTAGCCACAACCGTGCAATCAAAGCCCGTGCATCAAATGGCCAGGGGTTCAGAGGCATGATTGTAGCTGCCATCTTGGCATTTTTGACATGCACACACGCACACACACACACACACCCCACAGACACCCTTGCTCTAGTCAGGGATACCACCATCTCTGAAAACGAAGAACAGGTTTTACCTCACTGCAAAGGTACCCCCATACCCCCTTTCTTTTCGCTGATGAACGACAGCTACTTTATCACCCACTGAGCCTTTTTGTTGTTAAGAGACCCAGCCTCCCCCAATGCAAACTGGGCAGGAAGCAGGAGATCCACTGGATTGCCCTGGAGAAGGCTTGTGGTTCACCCAGAATTTAAGGTTTACCTGCCTTTGCTCCCCTGAGACTCAGAATCAAGATGATACAACAGCTAGACATCAGCCCTTCAAGGTAGACCAGACTTGGACACCAACGTTAGGAATACTAAAAGGACTTTTATTATAGGGTTACGGTAACAGAATCTTGAAACTCTCAGTGTGCCCCCCCCCCCGCCTTTATCCTAAAGAGAACTAGGGAGAGTCAAATCTGAGACGTTTTCTCAAATTACATTTCTGCCCCAGACTCAGATTTCTCTTATCTGACCATTGTCTTGGCTGCAGCTCTTCCTCCTGTTCCTCAAGGTTATTCTCACAGCCCATTACATCAGGGCAATCCATTCCCTTTCACACTCTGAGTGTCACATGCAAACCCAGAGAAGGAGATTCTGGATTTGCATGATACATTCTGGATATGAACGGGAGAGGACTGCTTTGCGCCCCACGCATCAGCTGGGGATCACCTACTGCCTCACCCAGAGCAGTGTTTCTCCACCTCAGCAACTTTAAGATGGGTGGACTTCAACTCCCAGAATTCCCCAGCCAGCCATGCTT